TATTGTTAAGGGTATCTAGAAGACCTCTAAGATATACCCATATTAATGTTGATTTGAAAGGTATCTAGAAGACCTCTAAGATATACCTATTTAAGTTAGGCCTTGCGGGTATGAACCCCGGTGGCTAGGGTTAAAACGTACGTACGGGATCCAAGAACCAAACTTGAGTACCTACTCGTTTGGGGGTACCACCCACCCAACAGTGAACACTACGCTGTCGGTTTTTGGTTGGCCTTAAGTGAAGGTAAGTTTAAGATTTTCAAAACCCTTTTGTCTTAAACTAGGCCTAGCTTAAGGATTATTTAGGAATATTTTATACTGGAATATAGTTTAATTATTTAAACTAGAATTCGTTTAAGGGTTGACAAATATTAAAGTGATTGGCCTTAGACTAACAATAGTTTAAGGATATTGTTGAATATTGAATATTGAATATGAGTAAATATTGAATGATGAATATTGAATTGAATATTGCAATTATTATGAATGACTGATGAACATTGAATGTGAATATAAATGTTGAATAATGCATGATGAATAATTTTCAATAATTATTGATTATCTGAACTGAACATTATGTGCATGATATCAAATGATTTGATTATGAATTTAGATTCAGTTTATATGGATGTTCGATGCATTAGATATGCTTACTCAGCTTCAACGCTGAGCGTGTAGTATGTTTTATTTGCTACACGCAGGTTAATGAAGTGTCGTGATCCTGGAGGCAGACGGAGGCGAGATTGTCGGAATGGATGTGATGGTTTTGAATTAAAGAACATAAATAAATTATGTTTGTGATTATGATTGTTAAGCTTCCGCAATATTGAAAACTCCGTACTGTTTATATTATGAAAAATATTATTGTGATAAATAAAAGTGTTTGAAATGTTTTAAATTTTTACGATTTCCAAGTTAATACTTTAATCTGAAAGGGGCTGCAGACCTGGACAGATTAGGGTGTTACAACACTAATATTAATTTTTTCGAGCACGAAGCTCTATCATAATTATCGTGAAAGTCTGAAATTCCAAAGTAGTTCTGGAATCATCAATTAGAAAATTAGTATTCAAGAATGACTACATATCATCTTGATAATACAAACAGTGAAAAACTGACAAATGTTATCAAAAAGTTCATCCAATCATTACAATGTGATAAAAAAACATATATCATTATTATACATAAGTGTGATATATGTGTTAACTATTACAAACAAGCTTTAATCAGCTTATTGACATTACGTTAGTCAAAACAACTCTATTACGCATCGCTAATGAGAGTTCGAGTTTTGAAACTATAATTACGTATTCATCTAGAAAACCTAGAATGATGACTATGGTAATAGTCATTCCCCGAAATACCGTTAGGTAAAAACATCAAATCTGAAAACAATTCGTTTCAGATTGTATACAACGAAGCGTAATTTGTGAAACCAACATTCCAGACAAAGTCGTTTGAGAATGATTCTCAAAGAATTTCAGAACCCGAAATTTTGTAAATTACCCCACATTCAAGAAACGCAATCTATACAAGAACTCTTGAAAACTACTACAACACGACAAGAGCAAGTCTAAGAGTATATTCGATGCAACTCTTCATGAAAGAAATCTAAACACGTTACATCTATCATCCGCGTATATCCTTTCTCAAAAGAGAAAATGTCATACTCATGACACTCAACAAAAGAAAGAGAAAACAAATTCTCAAAATTAGTGTTTTACAAAAACAATGGAATTTATGATTCTGTACATCATCATTTAAATGACTTCTCACATAGGGAAATTTCGGGGACGAAATTTCTTTAAGGGGGGAAGAAATGTAACGCGACAAAATATGGCCTAAAATTTATTATAAAACAAAAGTAGTTTTTATCCAATAAGGAATATTTGTACGTTTGACTAAAAATAAATGGATTTTAAAAATAATAACTTGTTGTTAAAATCTTATTTTTATGGATATGTCTCGAAGAGACAAATCCAACAGTACATTTTATGAACCAATCTGATTTATAGGTTTCAAGTTATGACGATTTTAAATATTAAAATTTGTAACTTTGACCCATAAAATAAACTCAATTCAAAAGTGATTTCATCAGATTAGAAATCACAATTTTGACACTTGACAACACTATATTTGTCATTTGGATTTAATTCATATATTCCTATCTCATTTATATTATTAAATTAATTTATGACTAAGACAGACCCAGACACTGAGAAAAATATAAAAGTTCTCAGAAAAATATTTCGATTACGTCAAAATTCTAGTTTTGACAGTCTGATTCCAAAAACACAATCCGTTTTCAATTCGGAGCAGTTTGGGCGAAAAAGCGCATACCGTTCAGAGTAAATTGATCAGTTTGGACAAGAGTCCAAAACTAATATCCTAAAATCTCTTCCAAATCTCGTAAAAATCTCCATTCAAGCCTATTAGCCACCCTATTCCACCTAACAAAGCCACTAACACCCCATTAACACAATACTCCAAAAAAAAAATAAATATATGATACTCCACCACCACCATCTTCATCATTATCATCATGTTCAACCATCATCACCATCATCTCATCTCTCCCCTCTCCATTCTCTCTCTGTCGGCCAAACCAAAGGAAAAGAAAAGAAAGTTCATCTCCATAGTTGGTTCAAG